GCAGGCAGGCTGGCAGAGCTGTGGCACTGCCAGGAGAGCAGTGCAGCCAGGCTGGCAGAGCTGTGGCACTGCCAGGAGCAGGCAGGCAGCCAGCCCCACAGGAGGTGCTGAGCTGTGCTCACAGGTCCCTTCTGCACGTGTTCCTGGGGATTCAGTGGCTCCAGGAACAGAGCTAAGTACATGTAAAATTCACTTAATGTGAACTGTAATGCCTTCAGAAGGGATTGCTGGTGTGCGTGTTCCTTCTGATACAGAAACAGGGAGTGGAATGTGTGGTGAGCCAGGGGATGTTTGGTGAGTCCCTTCCACTGCTTCACCTTCCCATCTGCCAGAAGCTTTATTTAGAGAGGTCCCAACATTGATACAGTCTTTTTAGTAGTATAGCTGTAGGGACCTGTGGCCCCAGTTTCTGGAGGAAAGGTGAAAAAGTAATTGAAAACAAATACAGAATGATTGGGTTTTGCTATGTGTCTGAAAGCAAGAGAGCTAATCTTGCTATCTTGTTGATAACAGAATTGAAAGGAGAATGCAGGTCTGCATTACCAGGAATAAAAGGGTTTCCTGTGTTTTTAGAAGTGGGAGATAATCAGAGGAAATAGCTGAAGGTCACCAGCTGAGCTAGGAGTGACATTTCTTGATATCCCACCCCTTAGACCCTAGTACCTGCCTCTTCCTCCTTGTTCTGCAAATATTAATTGCCTTTATTGTTGGTTATTAACAGAGCAATCTAATTGAAATATTTTAACAGAAACCAATTTTGCTAAAGTAATTTTGGTTCACAAAGATCTTTTAAAAGTCATCAAGAGGGGTCCCTTCCACAGAGGGAAGTGTTGAACGGTGAGTGAAAGCCTAGGGAGACCTTGAACGAGGAGATCAGCTCGGGGGATGAGAAGGCATCAAACAGTAAATGTCTTTGTTTTTCAGGATCAAACTTTGCTGCCTGTTTCCATTTACCTGCATGAGTGGGAGCATACAGTAAATATTTGTCAGTAAACAGCAATCTGCTGGCTGGCAAGCACCTGGGGAGGCAGGAAGGGTCGTTGTTCCTTTCGGTCGTTGGTCCTTTGAGAATATCCCATTTCTGTCTGACTTCAGACCTGCCTTATAGGCCAATAAAACCCTTCCCCTCCTGTGGCCTTTACCCTCTGTGCTATCTGTGCCTTTCTGCCTGCACTGGTGCTATAAAATTGATAGAGGCAGCAATCAGTTTATTTGCTGTTCAGTGTGTAACAAGCCTTTAAGGTGAGCACTGGACTAGATTTTTCTCAGGGTGTAAGTGATGACGACAGCTTTTCCTTCCCTGTGACCAGGGCACTGTTCTCCTGCTCGTTTCTGGGTCAGTGCCAGTGCTCTGGGTCACACTGCCATAGCCCCTGTTGGGGTGTCCTGTTTCCAGGTGTGCTCTTGGAGCAGCTTCCCCAGCTGCCAGTGGGACATGTGGACCTGCAGAGGGTGGGTGACCCTCTGGTCTGACTCTGCCCAGGCAGGGGCAGCTGGAGATGCCCAGGGAGCCCTGGGGCATCACACCCTGCAGCTTCTCTTCCTTTGCATCCAGCTGCACACAAAGAGATGAGGGCAGCAGCAGAAATGCAGCGAGGGCTCAGCTGAAGTGACAGGTGCTGCCTGCTGGGGATGGAAGGTCCCTCCTGTCTGCCCACAATGTTCCTCATGCCAGCCTGGACCTTGCTGAGGAGCACTTTGGAGTGTTGTGCTGGGTTTTCTGGGAAATAAAGAGGCTGCAGGGAGCCTCCCCCTTTCCAAATGCTGAGGTAGAGGAACACGTACTGAATAGGGTCACATGTGCTCTTTGTCTGGGCTGTCTGTGCTGCTGGTAGCTGCTGGGAAGGGCAGGAGGGCTTTGGCAGTGCCCACGTCCTGGGTAGGCCTGTGGGTCCTGCTGTGCCCCTGGAGCAGCTTTGGAGGGTGCAGCTCTCCTCCCAGCCTGCTGCTCCCTCAGGGCTCTGTGCCAGAAGGGCCCTGGGCTGTGGCAGCACTGCCAGGGCTGGAGCAGCCCTGCAGTCCTTCCAGCTGCGGGAAAGAAAGACTTTTAGCCTGTGCCTCACCATGGGGCTGGGATTTTGTTAATTGTGGTGAAATCAATCCAGCAGGAATCAAACAAGAATGATTTAGATGTTGATGGGTTTAGTACTATTGTGGTATTGTGTCAAGTAATGGCTTTCTGAGGCTTGTGCTTTTCTGATAACGAGAGGGTGTCCTTTGCCAAGAGTAATTGTTCTTCACATTGAAATGTCAAAACTGGAAATATATTTGGAATTCCAAATCTGCGTGCTGTGTTCCTGTGAGGAGGGCACTTCTAAATGGAGGGCTGTTGTATTGATGAATTAAAACAGAATGAGGTTGTTGAGTAGCATATGGAATGTAACAGAACAATCCACAAGTCAGAGTTGAAATGTTTGTTCTTAAAAAAGATGCTGCAAAGAAATCAGTGATTCTTCTGTGTTCTCCTTCATAAGGTTGGTCCCTTTTCAGTCTCACGTCAATGCTTGCTAAGAGAATAGTTGGTCAAAATTAGAAATTCATCCATTGTACACTAATCACTGATGAACTGATATTATTCAAAGGTCCGTGCCAAAACCGAACAAATGAGAATTTTACTCCTCTGGAGAAAAGATCCAGACCAGACATGGAGGTTGTAGCAGTGTCCCAAACATGCTTGTGCTCTAGAGAGATTGATGATCCCACCAAGAGAGCAAACTGTGTGTTACAGATAAGCACCAAAACACAGCCCTGCCTTTGAAAGGGTAATTTTTCAAAGCTCTGAAGTCACAGTTGCACAAGGCTTCCACAGGAACTGCAGTGCTCCCTATGAATGGTCCTGTGGTATTCTTTGACTTTCTGGGACTGAAGCCAGATTTTATTCAACTACTTAAACAATAGGGAAATTAGAAAATAAATGAGGAGGAACAATGATAAGCCAGTTAATGAGCTATGTAAAGGAAATATTCCATTATAAGTATTTTATATAATGGGTATAATATGCAGTTCTTTAAACAAATTATTTTTTCTTAAAACTGCGTTCAACAGAAGTGTTGTTTCCCGAAGACTAGAGTGAGACTTGAACAGCAAACAGAGCCCAACATTGGCTGTGTCTGAGATGCTGAAGCACAGTCAGAATTCTGAAATCCTGGTGGGAAAGTGTCCACAGCCTGTATAAGTCCCTGTGCTGTTGGAATACCCAGCATGACTGCAGTCTCTGCCAGGAGGGGTTCGTGCCCAAGGAAGGGACCTCTTGCAGTATATGGGGCTTTTTGGCAGTGAGTTTAGGAGCCACCGATCAGGATCCGAGCTCTGGGTTTAGCAGGTCACTTGCCCTTGGTTTTATTTGCTTTACATAATTAGTTCATCAGCAGAAGAGGCAGAAATAGGAGTGCACTGGCTGGCAGCAGCCCTCTGAAATGGGTGACGTGGGTTTGGAGAGCTGGCAGGGTGCAGTGCTTGGAAATGCTGCCTCAGCCTGAGTTTGGAGGCAGCGTTGTCCTGCGCCCTGGCCATTGCTGTCAGATGACAGAAGTGTATGAAAATGTGTTGATCAGTGCAATAATTGCCTTTTATAGATCTTCAGGACTCTTTTACTTAATAAATCTTGCACTGCTTTGGCTCAGAGATGATTTCTATCACAGTGTTTGATCTGTGAGTTTCGGCCTCAAAGTGGGTTCATTGTGAAAGGATGATGATACTTTTCTGCTATGCTGTTGATTCATACTTTTCTTCCCAAAACTTTGAGCTGTAGCAAATGGCAGGAGCTGTAGGCTTGGTGGCGACAGTCCTAGGGAGGCTGTCAGAGAGGGCCAGCTGGTGGTGGTGGAAGTCCTTACATCCAGGCTGTGTCCAGGAGGACATCAGTCCCTGGTCAGGAGCCGTGGGCCGTGGATGTCTCTGAGCCCCGAAAGCAGGAGTTGTAGGGAGTGCTCCTGCTGCTTCAGCCACCACATCCCACTGCTCCTGAGGGAAGCAGTTCAAGTGGGTGCAGCAGATCTTTCCCCTTTCCCAAGGCACAGCCTCAGAGGTGTCTTCTTGAGCTGCAGAGGGGGTTGTGGAAAACTAAGGAAGCCTGGAAAGAGTCAAGGAAAGCAGCAAGATGGTGGAACCTGAGCAGGGTTTGATACAGACAAGAGCCCTCCCTGGGGGCCCGGGCAAAGGCAAGGCTGGCAGACCTCTCTGGAGACAGGAGCAGGAAACCATGGGCCCATGGTGTGAAGGGGAGGCTCTGGAAAGCCCTGGCAGATGTTTGGTGCACTGCTCATCCTGGACATGGCACGGTGCCTGCTGCTCCGGCAGCGACTCATCCCGTTCCTCGCAGGGGCACAACGTGCTGGCAGGGTTGCAAGGGGGAGAAAGCTGCTTTCCCTCATCCGGGCATTCACCTCCAAATGACACTGGAAAAATGAGATGGTCTGGAGCTCGTTTCTTGTGCCAGCATGAGGGAAAACATGCCTGGAGCCTGGTCTGCACCACATGGCAGATGGACGGACGGACAGACGGATGGATGGATGCTGGCTGCTCACGTGAGGCCGAGGAGAAACTTAATCTGCCTTAAAACAAACCAATTCAAAGGGCTGTTGGCTCCTCTCAGTTTTAGACAAGACATGTCATTCACACTTACATCAGCTTTTTTCTCTCTACTTTAGGGTGGTGTGTTTATATTAAATGAGAAAGTTGGGGGTGGTGGAAGTCTAACCCAGCTGATGGTTAAAAAAGGAAGAGTTGACTCTTGGTTGACTCTTGTAGGGGACCAGGGGAACCAATCCTGCAGGGATATGGAGTGGGAGAATTGCCTGAGTCACTGGAGCTGCATTTTTCCCAACGTGGAGGCATGAATAAATGCAGGATCACTGTGCCACAGGATGCTGGCTGCATCTTGAGCAGTTCAGGTGAAGAACTTTAATCATTTTGGCTGTAAAAATTGACTCATCTGAAAATGATCTGTAAAATTGTGGGAGAGATTAGTGACCCTTAGTTCAGAAAAGGACAGAAAACCTGTTGTGGGAATTTGTCTTGAATTTGGAGTTGGAATAAAGTCTGAAGGAGTGTTTCGCTGTGCCTTGTTTTTCAGCTATGGCATATTTGAGTATTTTATTTTTAAATACTCAAACCCTTTTGTCCCCTGGCACGTGCCAGAAGGGTGTGCAGTTACCTCAGCTCCAGAGGCAGCCTGCTCAGGCTCTGTACCCGAGGTCGGTGTCGGGCAGAGCCGGGATGCAGAGCTGCTTCAGTGAGTGGCTGGCGTGGAGCACTGGGAGCTGGAAGAGATCCTGAAAGCAAGGGCTGTGAGCTCCAGCTGAAGTTCAGAGCCTGCTTTGTACAGCTCCTGCAGCCCCTCGGTGCCTCACTGCAATTAGCGCGCAGGAGTTAATTGGGTTCTCTGAGGACCGATGGTCGTGGCGTCAAGGGCCCATTCATGGCTCCTTGTGCAGGCCAAAGGTGGAACTCGCTGCAGGACGTTTTGTACTTGGTTTTAAAAAAGTTTGGTGGGCCTAGACCATGGATTCCACATGTGAATTCTGAGGGCGCATTACTGGTTTGAACGTTAGCCAGATTTTTTCAGTTTTATTGTTTTGCGGTGACAAACGCGGCGGGAGATAAATGCTGCAGTTTTCAAGGCAGGGAAGTACATCGTGTTCAGGCCTCAAACCTGAGGTTCTTTTTCTATTTTGGGGGACTAAAAGCACACAAATAGCCCTGTGTCCTCCCCAGTTCTTTTTTAAAACGCAACTGGAACATCAGTGGGGTTTGGAAATATGATGATAACTCATTCCCTGGGCATCCACTTCGTGCACTGAAAATGAGCTTTTGATGGGCTTCTAATTCTGAGTGTAAAAACAATGTTGACTTTCAAAATGTTTCCCATCCATTTTTGGTATATTTTTCCTTTTTATCTGTATGACTGAATGTGCATGTGTTGGAGGTTGCTCTAACCTGGTATTGTTTGTCCAGCCAAATTCCTGTTGGTTCTGTAGTTATCGCCACCGTAACAGCTGAGGACTCTCACTTCACAGGAGAGACAAAATGGCAAAGGGTGAAAAAAAGTCCTGCTGTCTTACAGAAATTCTCTGTCACATTGATTTATTTAAGAGAGACTTTAGAAAAAGAAGGTATACTTTACCTCTCCAGAGAAACTTTGTGGTGCCTGGGAACACAGAGGTGGTGTAGTTACCACTTAACAGACATAAACATAGAACTGTCTTGTGTGTTAAATAATGATAATGACACCCCAGGGGTAACTAAAAATGAAGTGAGACACAAGTTCCTGGACTGTACTGTAGGTTGGTGTTATTTCTCATTGCTGTTAGGGGTGGGTCTCATCCAGGGGCTCTGCTGCCATTGCTGAGTGGAGCCCTGCATTGCTGTAGGTGCTGCTGAAATAATTTCTGTCCATTTGATTTTCCCCCTCAGCACCAATTCGGACATTCTGGCAGATGTGGAAGGGTCTGAGACGTGTTCAGCATCCTCTGACAGGTGAGTAGAATATCCAAGAGCTGAAGTCCTTGGGATGGGTTTAGGTCTGCAGTTTGAAGTTGGTGGAATCCCCGAGAAGCAAATGCCTCAGGAAAGTCAGATTCTTGAAGAATCCCCACAGTTCTGGGAAGCACAGTTTGGTCAGTGTATGTGGATCCTTGAAAAGTGATACCTGGGTCCTCCAAGAATCCACAGATGCCCAATTGAATATCTTTATTCTAAGGGATATATAACTATATATTTTAATTAAAAAAAAAAAAAAAGAGGAAACTGCTTTGTTATGGAAAATTAAATCTGATCTTCTATTACATTTGAAAATTCTGTTGTTGACAAAGCTGTAGGTGAGGCTGACAAGTTGAACAGGCTGGAATTGAGCATCTGTTTTGATTTATTTCTGGTTGAGGTTAGCAGAGCACTTGGTTGTTAAAATCTCAATGTCTGCAAGTCTCTGAATCATGTTTCTGTTTCCCATGTGAAAACCCCTGGGAAGGGGCTGGGGAGAGCTGGAGAGGCCCGTGGGTCCCCGGTGCTCTGGGAACGTGCTCAGTCCCAGCACCAGAGCCCAGCTGGAGCTGCCTGCTGGGTTCACCTGGATCTCCCTGGCTGTGCCTGAGGGATGCAGGAGAGCCAATTCCATCGTGGTGCAGCCCTGAAACACAGCTTGTTCCTGCTGTGTCTGTCCTGTGTATCTGGTGGCAGTCAGCAGGTGTGGACCTGAGCATCTCAGAGTTGCCCATTGTTATTTTCAGTTGTGAATTCCCAGTTTAAGACAAATGGATAGTCCCTGCAGCATGGACTCAGCCTAGCAGATGGTGTAAAACAGAGTGCACTTAAAAGGAATGTTTAATTAGCAAAAGCTGTTGACAGATTAGTGGCATCTTTCATGTCAACACTATGTGGAATTTTAAGCTCCAAGGCTGAATGATGGAAATCAGCTGCTTCATTTACATACAGCTAGTTTAAGATTTTTTCTTCAAAATTATCTGTGACTAAAAATAAAATAGTTGTTGAGTTTTTTGTGGAAAATACTTTGTCCATAAATGAGGAGAGTGCCTGGCAAGGCTGCAGGCCCCAAGCCCTCCTTTGGGGGTAATGCTGACCAACCTCTCATCCTGCTTTCCAGGTGGCTGTGCCCCAAACTGCCTTTTCTGATGGAACATCCTCATGGTTTTGTCAGTGCCAGGGGTTGTCCTCAGTTATGGACAAGGAATCTGGGGGTTACTGCTGTTCCTTGGGTTCCAGACTGGTCTGGGAACAGAAGGAGAGGCATCGTGATGACCCTGTTCCTGTGGGCTCAGGGGCTATGGGATGATTTGTGGTGCTGTCACCTTCCTCAAATGAGAAGGCAGAGAAATATTTCTCTCCCCATCCTTGGAAACGTTTAGGCCAGGCTGGACAGGGCTTGGAGCAGCTTGGGACAGTGGGAGGTGTCCCTGCCATGGCAGGGGTGGAATGAGATGAGCTTTAAGGTGCCATCCAAGCCAAACCGTGCCCGATTCCCCATCTCCACGTGCACACGTGTGTGCTGCTCACAGTGCTTCTGAGCAGCCCCAGTGTGTGCTGTGTGGGCCCTGCAGACCCTGTTTCCCTGTTCTTGTCCCCAGCAGCAGCTCCGTGGCTCCGGCCGGGAACAGGAGGAGGCTGCGGCGGCCGCACGTCCCCGAGAGCAGCGGGGCGACGCCGCGGGGCAAGAGGAAGAGGAGCTAGTGCTGCCAGCGTGCCCGGCTCAGCCTGGGCAGCCCCCCGGCCCTCCCATCCTCTGCGTGTCTGGCTGCTGAGTACAGCTCTGTTCTCACATCCTGCCATCCCAGCTGCCTTCCTGACCAGGCTGGCGGCTTCGCCCGCAGCCCCGTGGGCCGCCGGTGGCCGAGGGTGGGCACAGAGCGGCAGAGCCCCGCGGGACTGACCTGGCTGCCGTGCCCAGCTCCCTCGCTCTGCAGCACCTGGCTGCGTGCTGCCACTGTCCTGCTTGCGTCCTGTGCCAGCCTCACCTGCCCCTGGGAGCGGCTGCAGGACGCTGTTTGTTTGGGCGTGGGCAGGTACTGGTGCCCCAGTTCTGGCACTGCCAGGGGAGGGAGGGACCAAGGAGTGCAGGGAGATTCTGCCCTGCACTGACAGGCTTTGTTATATGTCTGTGTAAACATACTCAGTATTGTGTGTCATTATTTCAGTTTGGAGTCCTGAAACTGGGAAGGGAAGGCTGTTGGACATGCAGCATTTTAGCTTTCAAGCACACAGTTACATTGAAAAGTCTGATCTTCCTTACGAGGTGGTGGGATTTTGTGATGCAACGAAGCACTGCAAAAAAAAAGAAGGAAATGCAAGAAACCTGAACACCAGGGAAGGCTTTGAAAAATAAAGCTTGTAAGAAAATATGAAAATACTTCAGGTGCTTTTGCTGAGCCCTGAAGTTTCGGTCAGAGCCTGTCAATGGGAGCTTGGAAAAGAAGACACAAAGTGTGGGTAAGATTGAGGGTTATGGTGTCTTGACTTCAGAGTGAAGCTGGGATTCAGAAATAATCCTCCTCCAGCCGTAGTTCCCAGAAATATTTGTGTTTGGAACAGGCTAAATCATGGCAGATATGAACTATCCTAAGTTCATGATGTGGAGAGATGCAGAGGCAAAGGAGAAATCTGGCTGTGTTGATTTGGTTAATTTGGTTATTTTTTTACTAAACCAAACCTTTTGAAAAACAGTAATTATTGATGTCTGCTTTAGGGTTGCCTTTTTGTCACAGCAGCTCACTTCAGGCATTGGAATTGGTTGCAGTTGGCCAGTGAATGGTAATAATATTGTAAATTAGTATCATAAAGGGCTTTCTCCAGGCGTTTGCAGAGCAGCTGCTGCTGTGGTGGGGAGGGCACTGCTGTGGGTGCAGCACTGACATTTCCCTTGGAAATGAGCTGGAGAGCCGCGTGCCACGGGGGCTGTGGCAACTCCATGGGGCAGGAGCAGGGAGAGAGCAGCTGCCACGTTAAATGTGGGCATGAATCAGACTGGTTTGCTGACAACCTGTGAAGATCAGGGGTTTTTAATATCACTTATTGTTGTCGTCACCATTTAAAGTCCAAACTGGTGGCCTTTACCTGAGCTGGAGCTTTTTTCCTCCTCCTGACGGGGTGTGGGTTGGTGCCCAGGAGGGTGGTGCCATTGGTGGAGTTCCCAGACGTGAGTGGGCTGTGGGACACGGTGGCTGAGGGGCAGGGGAGGCTGCATGGGGCAGGCACACTGGGCACTGTGGATGGAGGCTTTGGAAAAAACGTGGATGTGATGGTCTGCTGCCTCATTCCCACCCTGACAGAGCGGGTGCTGGGCAGGAGCCAGTCTCTCCTGCCACACCCAGGGCCAGCTCCAGCCCAGGGAGTGCCAGGCTGCTGCCAGCTCCAGCCTTGCCAGCAGTGGCTGCTCGTCCCTCGGGTGCCATAAATGATGCTTGCTGCACATCTCACCAACCCGGGATTCACAGGAACTGCATAACATAAGGGAACAAACAACAGGGAAGGAAACACAGTGTCCTCCCCAGGCTGTCCTGTCCCCTGCTCCCCTGGGCAGCTCTGCTCCTCCGTCACGGAGACAAGGGGCACGTGGGGGCAGCTGGGGACTTGGGAGCAGCCAGGCTGGGGGAGCTGGCTCATGGGGAGCTGGCACACAGGTGACACATGTGGAGCTGTCACAGCTGTCACACAGGGAGCTGGCACACAGCTGGCACACCGGCAGCTGGCACATCTGGCACACAGCTGGCACACCGGCAGCTGCCACAGCTGGCACACCCCTGGCACACCCCTGGCACACCGGCAGCTGGCACGGTGCTCCGGGCTGGCTCTGCCCGGGGCTGGAGGGGTTCCCTTGCAGCCAGGAGCAGGCAGGGTGGGCTCAGGGCTCAGGGGTTGGGCTGAGCACCCCGGGAGGGACCTGCGGCCACTGGGGACAGGCAGGGGCCAGGCTCTGCCAGGGCCACTTCTCCAAGGGTGCAGTTCAAAATAAAGCCCTTTTGCCTGAAGGGGGGGTCTGTTTTGGTGGGAGAACAGATACTCTGGAGTTGGAGCACCTCACACAAACAGGAATTGAAGATGAATCACAGTTACCTGCTGGGCAAACCCAACACCAGCATCTGCTGCCCAGGGGAGAGAATAATCATGGTCCTGTCCCACCTGGCATTGGAGGAGCCAGAGGGCCTGAATTCCAAATGATTTGGACAAACTGGTGAGTTGGCTCCAAAACGGCCACCTGGAAGTCAATAAAGAAAAACATGAATTACCAGCTTCAGGAAGGAGAAGGTAAACACATTACTGCAGATGGGAAGTAATTAGTGAGGCAGAAAAATTTGTATAAATGTAGCTGGGCTTCATTTTTGTAGTGAAAGCTCGCTGCTCTGGTTAATTATTTGGCCCTACAGAGGCATTCCTGGAGCCTGGGCTGGGGCTTTCATTGCAGGTATTTGTTGGGAGAGAAACGGGGGTGTGTGGAAACACCTTCACCTCTGTGGGCATTCCCAGACACACTCTGCTTGGATGCTCATATGTATATACTGAATTATCCTGAGGATTGCAGCCTCCTTCATAGCACTTGGCTAAGATTGTTGTAGTGATGAGCACCAAGCTTTACTCACTTTCCTTTATATACATATGCAAATGTAGAATGTGCATATGAATATGTTAAACCAGACTATATTCTGGTTTTGTTCTGGCTCTTCTATCTTTACCTAAAAAAAATCTCAGATCTTGCTATTTATATTTTGTTCAAGGAGGAAAGTGCCTCACTTTGCTGGGCAGTGTGTGTGCAGTGCTGTGCCTGGCATTAACTGGGTGATCCACTCCTCTGGCTATGGGAAGGTTTAGCTAATATCCCGGATCCCAGGAGGTGACACTCGGTGTGTCCCTTGGTGTGCAGCTCTTGTGGCACCTGTCACTGCTGCAGCTGTGGCTCCCAGTGCCACGGGTACAGCCCCAGGGCTCTGGCTCTGCCGTGCTTTTCCTTCCTTCTTGGTGGTGAGTGGGAGTTCAGGCACTGCAGTGAGCTTGAAGTTACACACAAATGTAGTGATCCCCCCCAAAGTAGTCAAATGATTGTATTATCTCCCAGCAGCTTGAACCTGAAGCCTCTTTATTAAAAAACCACATGGATACATATTTCAGCTTTATTATCCCAGCTTGTTACTCCCAGGCCTGGGCAGGCTCCATTGGTTTTATGGGCTTGGAGGCCCTAATGGATGAAGGGAGGAACATTTTAGCACAAAGAGCGTCCTTGGGAGCCCTGTGCAGAGCTGGCTGGCAGGGAGGTGCCTGGGAGAGCCTCTGCCACCCTTGGCTGGGCTTGGCCTGGCAGGGCAGTGGGGTCTGGGATGGGCAGATGGGAGTGGCAGAATTCCCTACAGAGACCAC